TTGCATAAACGAAGAAGAAATCTAAGACATGTGCATTCAAACGAAAATACATTTTCTTTTGCTTAACACATTTCACATGGTACCCGGATACAAACTATTCTTGTTCTATTCTTTGCTGCTTGTTCTTTTCTGCTTTCACGATCTTTCATGGAATCTCAATAGGAGTGAATTAGTAGCGTTGAAATTTAATGCAAGATACCAACAACATACTAGCAAGAACAAAACAAGAATGATTCATATAGGTAAGTGTTTAACAGCAGTGAGTGTAATGAGACATATGCACGAGTTCTGTGCAAAACAGTTTATGTTTTCTTGTCTGTTGTTTTTGTCACAGTGACTCTCATCGATTCGAATTTTCTGAAAAAAAAGTCTATATATTTGTACTTTATCCACATAAAAAATTTCAAGTTGACTCATACGAATTGATCTAAAGCAAAGTAATAAAATAAAAAAATGATTTGAAAGACAAATGAAATCTCATCATGCTCCTATAAAGGTTGCAGTTAGTTGTATTAATCGAATGAAAATGTATGGATCATTCATTTCTGAAGAAACAGACAGATGATATATTTTGTCATCGTAATGCGAGAGACTCTAGTATATTTGCTAATTCTATTATAAGAATTAGCAACATTTTACTAAAAACTACTTTGTTTTCTCCAAAGCATGATAATAAAAAGCTGAATCAAAGGAATAGAAAAGAAAACATTTACTAATTTTTTATTTCTTCTACATACTGGTATTTATTGTCAGAAAAAACATCATTCATTTTTTTATGCCAATTCAATAGGACAATGATTTATACGAACGAATGCAATTTCAACACTGATTGGTTTGACAACAACAATTCTTGTAGCGTCTGCATATGTTCTATTAGTATTTTAATCACCCGATCATTCGCTGTTATCATTGAACTCAAAAATAAAGAATGATGATGCATCCTTTCATGAAAAATAACTTTTATCGATTATTTCAGTAACCTCATGACAAGAAACCTGCATCTTATCTAATATTAACTGAACCCTCAAAATTTGAGAGCATTGGAAAAAATCGGAATTTTATATAACATCGAAATTTACGTCGATATATGAACGTAAACGAAACAGATAACTTTCGTATGATTTGTTAAATATACACAAAATACTGAAAATATTGCCATTATCAACTATTCACGGAACCAAATTATGGCCAGATAGTGCCTAGATTTCAATGAAAAATTTATCGAAATCATTTATTCTAAGACAGGTAAGAAGCACAAAAGTATGAATATATGTTTTGGTATCAACAGTCATCAAGAGAACTTGTATAATGTAAATGGTGGATATAGTCATCATATCTTCGCTTAAAACAATGAAAAAAATCAATTTCTCAACTGCAACATCTTCAACCGTGAAAGGCATGGATGTATAACAAAAGAAGATAGAGAAAAGGTTCCATGAAAGACAGGAAAAATTGACATCAACTATGAATAGGTGTCATCTCACGGTGCGTAGCATAATTCATTATCTAATGTTACGTGAATAATGACATTTCGTTACTTCAAAAGTAGCGATTCAATATTATTTATACTAAGAATACACTCGTCAAAATATTTACAATTATTGCTACTATTGCTATCATTTTGGATTTGACAATTCATATGTTTCATCAATATGAAAGCAAGAATTGTTTAAGTAACTAAAAGAATCAAAATAGTACACTATACGACAGAAAAGGACTCTGTTAGCCTAGTTATCTCATACGAAACTTCGCTTCATCGTTGTTGATACATTAGATAATGTAAGAAAAATCAAAAATTTTTAATTACTGTAGTTGATCAATATGTATATGATTAACACTTATTATGTGAGAAACATATGATATGATTGTGTAGCTACGAAGAAAACGTTGAGTAAGTCAAACTAATTATTTGATATATGAAGAACTGTAATAATTCATGTCAGTTACTTTTATTTAGATTGAATAGTTGAGGATAATTTCAGCAACAGATTAATAATTAGACAACGACGATCCAATAGTGAATTGATATTCTATGATAATTAATCAAATAAAATCACCCTCTGACTTTTAAAAGTTTTTATAAAATCTATCAACTCTTACTGTAAATAATCAATTTTGAAATCGTTCATCAGAAATGATATTGTAAAGATAACAAATATCTTATTTTAAATAAAACTACCGGACTGTTTTTATTGGATTTAGATTAAAAATAATATCTATACACCTCTGATCAATAAAACACAACATATCAGTAGTTACAAATCAATCTAGATATCATATATTAAAAGGTTAAAGCATTTATAATAGTTAAGGATGTAAGATATCTTAGGTCGCGATTCGAGTATTCCACGAATGGATTCGCCAGCCGCACTCGAAATGATTACGACTAGGCTCAGCATTAATTAAATTTAGAGCGTTACAGAAGAGTTGATGTTATTATGAAACGTTGAGTTTATTTTTTTTCCAAATCTTCTTTGTGTTGGTATGGAGACAAGAAATCAAAGAACATGACAGCAAAATTTCATCATCCAAAGTTGGCGGTAAGTAGTATCATTTTCAGAAATCGTTCAGTTTGATGACTACATACAAATCAATGTATGTAGTCAATTTTCAGTCAAAATTCATTAATACTGACAGTAGCAGACTGACCGCTCTATTTTCTTGTTATTATCGGTAACTTATTTTTTCTGAGCAAATATCCAACTTCAATACCTGCAGTTCTATGTCAATATTTATTCGATCAAAACAACAAAGCATCACGCACTATCGTCTTCAACCAAACCGATAGCTTCGTTCAATTCAATTATAGATTGAGCATGGACTGATCATTCTTTCGGTAATTACTTCGGATCAGATTAAAATATAAATGATCGGGATCCTCTCGATTCGTCCCAAATTGGTCAATTAGACGATTCGGCTCTAAAATATTTTTCTTAATTCGTCCCTTACATAAATATACCATTCTTAATTGATTCTCAATTCGTCCCTTCCATGATGGCTGTTGTATAGTGACCGTATCATTATACATTGCACGATATTTTATTTTTTCTTTCTTCGTTTTCTCTTACCTATCGCACGATCTTTATTCTTCTTCATCTCTTAAGTATCGAACGACTGTTCAAAAAGTGACAGTAGAAATCTATACTCCATTATATAGTTATGATATTGTATTGTAATTTTTTTTGGATAAAACTCTAAGATATGAAAATACATTACTATTTGATTTCTAACCAATTAGGGACGAGTTGAGAATTAATTAAGAACGGTATATTTATGTAAGGGACGAATTGAGAAAAATATTTTAGAGCTAAATCGTCTAATTGACCAATTTGGGACGAATCGAGAGTAAACCAAATGATCGATTATAGGGATTGGTTCTTTTATTGATTCTATCTTATCTAATATAACCTATATTTTATTCGTTTTTTTTATCAAGTTTAATACATAATTGACTAAATTTCAATTACATTCATTGGTCATACTTTTAATTTCATACTCTACCTACATCATATTAATAGAGAGAAATAGCATTTTTCTATGAAAGTTTTTGTTTAGTGCAATTTCAACCAAGTACCAAGTTAATTAATTCTTACGAATCTTAAAATATAAAATGTAATTCTGAATTCTAACTTTTTCGCTTATCTGATGTCTTCCAAAACTATAAGTTTGTCCTAAAAAGATCGCATTTTTCTTCGACTACGCCAGTCAAAACCAGGACTTGAATTATTCCAAAAAGATTCTATAGATTTGAAATTATGAGTGAGTTTCAAAGAGTTCTTCTCTCGTGTTCGGTGTGCAATAATATATACCCATGTATACCAATCTATTATTATATCAGCTTTCGATAAAAATATGTTTAGAGTTATATATGCTCATCAAAAACTTAACGTGTGGGTATGGGTGTAGTTGCGGGTGTAGATGGATGTGAGTATAGAGAAGATTCAAATACTCATACTCACTCACAGACAATTTTGACAAAATATTTGTTAATCCGGAAAACTAGCATATAAGGAAGTAAGAAGTTGTCTTATGATCATATTTGGACTCAGTATGGTCAATGATTCATAATTCAGTAGCTTTTGGTGAGCAAGCGATTGATTAGTTAAAAGCGTTGCCTCCTCAGATTTTTATTAGTGACATTCTCCTATGAAAAAAATGTCCGATTAATTCTCTTATCTAATAAAGTAAGATTGATCTAGATTTGATATCTCATGAGAGAAGTGGTTAAGACAACAGCCTATCATAATCTTTTTCCAATTCATATAAATTATAATTTCGAATATAATTGAGCAGTTTGATAATCAGTTATCTAATAGATTCAAACAGTTAATGGTCATACTTGAAATGGCTTCTCAACTTGGAAGAAAAGACTCCAAGTTTTCTGAATATCTTATTTGATGTCGAAACGGAAGGAAGAATTCTTCTGTCTTTCAGCTATATTGCTGTATTGGGTACTGTCTTGTGATAGATTCAGTAGCTCAGTATCTTCCCTACAACTAAGACTAGCTGTAGCTCAGAACAAAAAGCCGGTCTGACGCAGAGACTTCCTATACACACTGACTGATAACATACCAGCCACAAGAACATATGTATATCACAACGTAGTCAGCCTGCTATCAAACCGATGATCCAACACAAACAGCCGTCAGTAATACCGAAGTTTGAGTATAATGCCTTGTGAATATCTACCAAACAATGTAGCCACTCGGATTGAAACGTATGAGTTAACATCTCTCGATCATATTTATTTGAATAAAATATAGAAGTATACATATTCATGTATATAGATATATAAAATATCATAGATTTAAAAGAATTTCACATTGACAATACAAGACAATAAGACACACATAAGCAGAAATGTTCACTTGTTTTGTTTTGGTTCCTACAACAGTTCAGTTAGAAATATGTTTATACTTTTTATGCAACTGAATATGTCTAAAAAGAAAGCAAACATATATTCGTATTTTGTTGAATCTATTTCTGAAAAACTTACATGATCAAAACTCAATATTAATCATTGAATGTGTTGAATCGCTTAATGAATCATCAACAATCGAATTCATAGTTATCTAATACAGAGAAAGCACAATATTTCATCTTTTTAAAAACAATTCGATATTATTACATACACTTTTCAAATCCGATGGACGATTTTTCTTATTTCCATCTTTATTTGATTTGGGTTTTTCATATATCTCAAATCTTGAAATCATATTATCGATCTAAATGAATTTAATTTTAAAAAAAAACACTCGTAATTCAGAATTTATTTTCTATACCTTAGTTAAAACAAGTCCAACAGATGATTCCATTGAATCAAGTCGTTTAGCTAAATCATTATATTCTTGAACGGTAACTTCTTGTGTTTCCAAACGTTCCGAAGTTGTATCATTGTCTTTAGGATCATTATCAAAAGCATTTATCATCACCTTACTAAAATAACAATAATCTTATGTTCTTTTTTTTTCTTTCATTTTTTAATTTTATCTTACTTGTTCTGAGTAGTCATATTTAATTCATTCATTTCTCGAAGAATTGCATCATTTTGTTTTAATAAATCATTAGTTAATGCCTGTTGTTCATCTTCATCTAAAACTCGATCACCATCTGTATCATATTTTGCAAACATTGTTTCAATTTCTTCTTCAGCATAACCACGTGATTTCATTTCATTACGCCATTCTTCAAAATCCAAACGTTTATCACGATTAATATCAGCTACTGTTAAAGCTTTTCGAATATCAGCAATACGATCATGTTTAGCAGTTAAACGTTCACGCATTTTAGCATAACTTTGTTTAACAAAATCACTTATTTCAAAACCACTCTTTTTATGTTGTAATTCAGCTTTAACTTCCATATATGTATCATTAATTATAGCCAAAAACATATTTAATAATACGAAGAAGACAAAAAAGACATATGTTAAAAAGAACAATGGTCCTATTTAAAATATTTTAATTATGAATATTTTCATATAATTAAAATATGATTTCCTACCAAGTACACGATGAGCTTGTTGAAGTGCAGGAAAATCAAAAGTTCCCAAGATAACCAAAAATAATGTGTAACTAAAAGAATTTTACACATATGAGCAAAAATCATTAGTTAACGATGTAACTTCGCAAAGTTAAAATATAGTGGTGGATGTAAGTTTAGTATAATTGTATTTTTAAGTTTCCTTCTCGATGGTAATAGTGAGGAAGAATCTGAAGAAACATTTGTGTAGTTGAAAGGATTCTCTATTATGATTCATAGACCCGAAGACTTCAACAAAACTGGTTGGATGAGAGTCTGCTGAGAACCAGCTTTCCGACTTTCATTTGAATCTTTTGTGGAAAGATTTCATTTGACAGAACAAATGATTCTAAGCAAGTTAAGCTGTCCTTGACCTCTTCATCGAACTGCATTCAATTTACAGAAGCTTCATGAAACATTATTCTCTTCTTTTTATTGAAAATTTTAATGTTTTTTGTCATGCTTGATGCTTTAGATCTTTGTGAAAATTAAATGCAGTTCGATGAAGAGGTCAGAGACGTCTCGTCTTGCTCACAATCATTTATTCTATCATATAAAATCTTTTCCTAAAAGCTTCAAATGAAAGTCAGAAAGCTAGTTTTCAGCAGATTCTCATCCAAACAGTTCTGTTAGAATCGTCAGACCTATCAATCCTAATAAAGAATCCTTTCAGCTGCACAAATGTTTTTTTCAGGTTCTTGCTAGCTATTATCAGCGAGAAGAAAACTTAAAAATGCAGCTGCTGTAAACTTTCATCCGCCAATATGTGTATCTCGCAATAATGAATTTTTCTAGAGTTAATGTTTATATTTAAATGTATGTTAAGTTACTCTAGATACCCTGAAAAAATTAATGTTAGAGACGTGTCACAAAAAATAGGTCATTGACTTTCACGTCATGTGTTTCAGTTTAAAAAATGTTCGAATTAAAGCAGTATTTTTGAAAACTAAATAGTGAATTCTGCGAATAACTCATGAGGCTAGAAAATCTCAATGTAAAATTTTTTTCGCACCTGCCTAGATTTTTCAAAAAAAATCGATTTACTTTTCGTTAGCGACATGACGAAGAATGAATATACAAACACTAAAATCCTCTTATAACCGAATGAAAAGTTCAAGATAAATTCTAAACGGTACAAATCATTTTTTTTAAAGAATTTCCTCGTATGGTCAGAGAGATAGTCGCTAATTACTTTTTAATTCATATTTTTAGACCGTAAAAAATCGATAAAAACGAGTAACATAGACTAGCTTCAGTAGTCTAAAAGTTGATTTAAAAAAATTGGACCGGTCCAGTTCCAAGTTTGTCATAAATATACATGTGAGGCTATTCTATTGAACTCTTCCTCTAAGCAAATAATTCTTTATCCTACTCTGTTCTTTTTTATTTTCTATGAAAACAAAAATTAACTTACACTGAATAGTGAAATGCTCGAAAGCCTTCTATTTGAATGCCAAAAGTTAAATATCCCAATTGTGCAAAAGCAAAAAATATAATAAAAAACATAATTGCAAAACCCGAAATATCCTTTGCACATTTGGTTAATGTTTCACTTAATTGAGTCATTGTTTTATTAAAACTAATATATTTAAAGATCTAAGAAGAAAGAATTATAATATAAATATGCATATATTAATATTACAAACTTTAATCCAAGCAAGAAATATTGTCGCACTAATTACATTATTAAATTGATATTGCCAATAGCAAAGAAATGTAAAATCACTATATTGTCTCGTTTGTTTTTCTAATAATTGATCAAGTAAATTATTAACTTGTACTTGTCGATAAATATTAAATGACATACAAATATAAGATAAAATAATGACAATCATATCCAAACAATTCATAACTGATTTAAAATATGCTGATTTCATATTGATAACCTTTAAAATTATATTGAAAAATGTAAATATTTCAACACGAAAAAAAAATCTATAATTTACCTCTAATACTTCTTCAATTGTATAATATATAATAAAGAATAGGAAAATAACTTCACAAGATAATACAAAATAATCGAATGCATTTACATAACGAATAAGTTTAACAGCACGAAATTTTGATGATGCTACAACACCACCAACAGCTGGAAATTCAAACATAAGTCTAAATATGTTCAATAATAATACAATTATTTTATTATTAGACAAATTTTCAACTTACTGTACTTGACAAAATAAATTAAGATTAGCATTATAGACTGTAAAATCGACCAAAATTGCTCGAGTACCAAGTGTAATCCAAAGACTATTTACATAAGATGTCAAAAATCAATAAGCAAGCGAAAAGAGAAAACACTTGATAAACAAACAATAAAAATGCCATTCAACAGAAGCACTATATACATTCGGTTTTATGAATTCGATTATTCAAATCGAGGAAAATTTGATTTCATACATGTTAAATTCGCAATCTTATTCCTAGTTCGTGATGCATATAAGCAAAATCATTTGTTAGCAACGTGATTTCGCAAAATTAAAATACGTGTATCTTGGGACAATAAACTTCCCTAGAGCTAAATTTTATAAGTTACATATATGTCGAGTTATTCTAGATACTCTGAAAAAATCAGCTCTAGAGACTTTTGTTCAGACGAGTTTTCGATAAAAACAACTAACTTTGGTAACGTGACACAAAAACAAAGGACATGAACTTTCACTTTATGCCTTTTATGTTAAAGAAACTCCGGATAGAAACAGCATTTTTGAAAACTAAATAGTATATACTGTAGACAACTCTTGAGACTACAAAGTTTCTTTTCAAAGATTTTTGTGAACATGTCTAGATTTTTCAAAAAAAGAAATCGATTTACTTTTCGTGAACGACGTAATGCAGTACAAATATACAAACGCAAAAAAAACTGCTCTTATTATCGCATGAGAAGTTTAAAATCAATTTCAAATAGTACAAATTCTTTTTCAGAATCTGTAAATGATATTAACACAAAAATTATTGTTTCGAAACTTGCCAAGATTTCTAGAAAGTCAGACTTAGGCAGCTGGAAGAGTCAATATTTTTACATATGGCTATGTTAAAAGAACTGATTCAGAAAAATAAACCTTGTAAAGAATCAAAATCAAATGTAAGATGGATGTGTCTCAATGTGCTTGAAATAACTCATATAGTCAAAAAAAAGAGATAAACATTCTTCAGTCTACTATTTTCTATTGCTTGTGTGATACATCAAATTACGGTATGTCAAAATGGAATAAGCATACGCGCCATGGTTGTAACTGACCCGATCGGACTTAAACACTTTACATCGTCGCACAGGCTGATCTTCACTGACTTTTATCGATTGAAAGAAATATTTTAGATATAGCAGTTTTATTTCTCTAATCGAACTATATGTCCCTCAGCAAAAAATAAGTTTTGGCCATCGTTCGAAGAGAAACGTTAGACTTTTCAATAAAACTTGCTTGAAGAAAATTTAACATTTAGGTTTAATAATTAGGTATTCGGTAGATGACTCTTTTTTTCGCCATAGAGAAAGCCCATGTTTTCATGTTTGGGAACTCCTACAGATATAAATCGTTGTAATATAATGTTTTCTCATGAAAGGTTTGTAAAAACCTAAGCAAAAAAAAAAGGAAAAAGGCTGTTTTTAAAATGGCTCATCATCAGCCGTGTCGGATCAATTCGACAAGGTCCTACCGGTTACAATACTGATTTATATCGATGTGCGCAAGATAACATATTTTGAAACAAAAGCGATAGCTATCAAATAATTTTACAAAATAAAATTTCTCTTACTTTTCTTTAAGTGCTTCAATTTCATTTTTAAATTCTTCTTGTGATGAGCCTAATATTTTAATAAAACCACCTTGATCATATACACCCACTTTTCCTGTTGTACTGGAACGAATTATTGAATTTATTGGTGTATGTCTAAATCTAAATAATTTCCAAAAACAAAAAAGAAAAAGAATTTCGTCATTTGAAATAACAATAAAATAATTCTTACGGTTCTTCAGTACAATTTTCTGCATCTAAATTTATACAAGGTCCAAATGAATTCTTATCTTCAAATGCTGGTGCATATGAATTATAACAAAATTTAATTTCTTGTTGAAAATCTTTGGCAACAACACATGAATTATTTCGAACCTTTTTTTGACGCATTCGAACAGCACCTAATAATCGATTTTCATATAAAATATAACCATAATTGCTAACTTTATCATTATTGTACCAAGTTTCTGTAAAAAGAGCAGGTGCAGCAATTTGTGTCATATACTATTAAATAGAAAAGTGAATATTTTTTCAATTGTTATTAGTGGATTTTTTTCCTTACATCCCAAAACTCTTCCATTCGACTTATATCAGAAAATGATGGACCTGTATTATTAGTTGATTCATCAATCATACGTGAATCAACAAATACACCTTTTAATGCTTGTGTGAGTGTATACATATTAGTACTAACCATACCAAAAACAACTAAAAATTAACAGTTAATTTTAAAAAAATTCAAATTTTTTTTTGCATTTTTGATCTTTACCAATAGTTAAAATACCAATAAAAACCATATAAATCATAAGTTCACGAATGGTTGTTCGTACATATTTCTCATTATGTTCTTCATCATTAAATTTTTCTGTTTGTTGTGTTGCCCAAAGTTCTTTAATAATTATTCAACAATATTCTTTTATAAAATAAAAAAGAAAAACAAAACTGAAATCTTTACTTCGAATAAATCGTAAAAATTGTTTGAATGGACTTTTTTTACGTTGACGTTCTGTTACATTATATCTTCCATGTTCTTCTTGATTAACAGGTGCTCCATCAACATATGACGTGCCATCAATGTACACTTCATTTTCAATACGAGTTGGTATCGTATTACTAAAAGCCAATGCTGGTTGTGAACGAGATGATTGCTGTTCAACGAACATTATTTCCAATACAAAACTTTGTCTTACTTACACTATTCAAGAAATGATAATATAATGAATATATGTGTTTGTCTCGATTAAAAAACAACGAAAGAACAATATAAAAAAAAAAAAAAAAAAAAAAACTTAATTTGTTATCGACGTCATCTCATTTCTTGTTTCTTTTTTGTGCTTCGATTGTCTCTATAGGATAGGGAAATAAAAAAATATTGTTTTGACGACATATAGGTAAAAGAAATAGATATGAGAATACAAATGGGACAAACTTGTAGAAGTATGTCTCTAGAAAAAAAGAAAAGTTATGATACCTATATGTTAGCAAATGAATGTAATTTTTAATAGAAGCATTGTGCGTAAAGAACACGAAATAATAATCAAACTAGTATATATGAAACACGACAACGTCAATAATTGTCAAAGGAATTGCGTTTCTTAGTTGTGTTACATAGAAAATAAACAATATATAAAAATAATTTATTATTTGAATTTGATTAAAGAATAAGAATCGTTCAATAAAACTATGTTGTGTAAAATAATTTGAAGTTCATCTCAAAAAAACAGTGATCAATAAAGAATTAATTCAAATCCTCATTGCATATTATGCAATCTTATTCGTATTACTTTTTGAAAAAAAAGAGATAACTTTTTAGTTCATCAGTAATTAACGACTATGATCTGAATAAAGGCGAGAGCGGGAGTGAGTCTTATCGTCACTATCAGAATTGCTTTTTCGTCGTTTTGTGTTGTTGTCCAAGTGAATATATCCATACTGTTGAGCAAAGTACGGCCTTTTTCCTCTTAGCTGCTTTCGTCTTTTTATCAGTCAAACAGAACGTCGGTTTTTTTCGAAACATAAGACAAATGAAATTAATGTAATTTTCTCCTTTCCAATATGAGATCCGCTCTATACTAATTGCCTAAATTTTTGGTCTCATTTAGGAAACTGCACATAAAAAGATAAAGATTTATCATTATTTTCATGATTTCGGTAAAATTGGCAAACTTTTCTCCAAAGAGATACTGTCATCTTTTTGTCATCAACGTCACCCAGCCTCCATTAGCTGTTGATTGAAGATAAACTATTCGAATCAATTCTGTTCAAATACTTAAGGATCGTATTCATTATACAGAGATTTAATTTCAGTCAAAGTGACTCCGTCGGATCACGAAGTGTTCTGTACGAGAGTTTTTACTGTATTGAATACAATTATTCATGAGTGACCCATAATATATCATCATTTAGTGTCAAACGTTAGTTCTAAGAGTTTTTTATTATGATATAGCATAAAAATATCGATTGTAAATGATGGTCCTTGTCGGTAGCCCATGAATGAATGTTGTGAATGGAAACCACACATCAGTGATTTCTAAAATTTTACGAATCTGAAATGTAAAGAGAGGGTCCATGACACGACTATCCAAACTAGTTGTTGAAAAATTGTAGGTTTTTGAAGTAAAATGGCTAGTTTGAAAGAGCATCAAAAGTTAGTCAGAAGCTCAAAATTTGTACGACTGTTGAGAAAAACCTTCTATAACTTCGATGATTCGATTGGCTTGATCTAAAATGTCAGCCTATCCAAAACGATCGGATCCACTTGACTTTTGTTAATGAAATTTTCGATCGCAAAATATATTGATCGCAGCTATTATTAAATTATAACAATCGATAGAGCGAAAGCAGCTCTACAAAATTTTGTATTTTATATATATTATCATGTTGCTCGAAACAGGAAATAATTCATTATAATATATGAAATCGACTATTTTCTATCTATTTGACATTTCTTTTTCTATCATTTTTACTCCTATTATAGAATTAATTTTCAAAAGCCTTAAAAAAAGAATTTCAGATATTTTTGTAGAGAATGAAAAGATGCATATTCTGATACAAAACAACAATGAATCGCAAGTATTAACAAAGTTTCAAAGAGTTCATAACAATGTTGTCCATTATACATGATTTTTTGTTTTTGATATTTTCATGAATCAATTTTATTAAAAATCGCCTATTTTCGAGAAAATTTAATTTATTTAGCGTTAAGGTCATAACAACCAGAAGTAGACATTCAAGTCGCGATTAACAATCAATAGAAATTTTAGTAGAAGTTCTGAGCAATAGATACTCAAACATTATATACTCTCCGTTCTAAGAAACATCAAGCCGAGTATCAAACTAAGTTAACAACTGCAAGATGACATTATGTATTAACTTGCGGTAGTTCTCCTGCGAAGAAATATATTCTTTATTTATTAACATTGAGTACTGTCGTTTTTTGAATCAAAACAAATAGAATAATAGCTTCAAACTTAAAACACTACCACTTAGTAATGATAATACAGTCGTATTCTCAACTTTCGAAATTATGGTCAAGAGTATAGATCGAAACAAGATAAGAAAAAATGAATTATTGTCGATCGTGATATTTATATGTAACTCATTTGTAATTGTCAAGGGTGATATACTAACAGTCGAAAAGAAAAACATCAATGAAACTAATACCAAAAGCAGTAAAAGTAATTTCGATAAAGATAAGAAGTCGTGGAGTTTTGACATGAATGCGATAGAGAGAACTAGAAAAAAAAAGCATATACTACTTCAACAATCAAACTGATGTGAAGAAAGAAATGAATAAAAAGAAAGAATTGAATTATCATATGGCATTTAATTTATATACTTGATTGCTGTCGAACATATGGACAATTACAGGTATTAAAAAAGTTTATTCGTCTTATACATCTGTCAACCAATTATCAATATTCTAATTTATTCTTTCATGATGAAATTTAAATAGTAATTAAAATAAAAGCTCTTGTAAGAATTCTCAATATAATTCATTGTCAGTTGATTATTATGTATTGTTTTCTTTTCATTATTTACCTGTAAACATCATCTCATTCATACGTAGTAAGTTTTTATAACTGTCGATTTTTTTTACAGAGAAAACATCGAGATATACTATTAAAAAAATTTTCGATCAAAAGAATTTTTTTATTTTCATTTAATTCATCAAAATAGAATTTAGGGGATCAATATTATATGTAAAATACTAGCAGAAAACATTCTAATCTGTTTTGAGTAGCATTTTCTCCTGAGTCTCTTATAAATCTTCAGTAAAACAGTTCCTAGTGCTCATATTTTATTAGTATCTTTACATGAAAAGATATCCGGAAAAACTTGATATCACAAAGTTCGAGTCATATGCCTTACGAGAGAATCTTTCCAACTTAAAAATCACATTTGAGTTCAGACTCTGTGCATAAGATAGACCTCAATGATGTATTAAAAGTTCTAAAATGATAAAGATCCTTAGGCCTTTCTTACAAAGTTATAGCCGTTTTACTGGAACTCATTGTAACAAGAATGTCCTGAAAATTTCAGCTGAGAAGAATGTTCTTTTCACGAGATATTGAATTCTCAAAAGTCATTCATATTCTACGAAAGATACGAGAATCTCATGTTGTTTTTTAGAAATTTAATTACTTGTAAAAGGAACATTCTTTTCAGCTGAAATTTTCAGATTAAAACATCGCATTCAATTCTCTTGTACATATAAGGGAAATATAAGCTTAGAGCAGTTGTATTTTTAAGTTTTCTTCTCGTTAGTTATACTTAGCAAGAATTTGGAAAAGCATTTTTCGTAGTTGAAAGGATTCTTTATCACGATTGGTAGACTTGAAGATTCCAACAAAACTACTTGGATGAGAATTCGTATTAGCAAGCTTTCTGACTTCCATTCGAAGCTTCTGAGAAAAGATTTTATTTAATAGAACAAGCAATTCTTAGTAAAATGAGATATCTTCATCGAACTGCATTCAATTTACAGGAAGTTTAAGAAGCATTATGCTCGTCTTTTTCTTGAAAACTTCAATGTTTTTGCCATGTTTGACGCTTTGAGACTCTCGATAAATTATATATAGTCCGATGGAGAAGTCAGAGATGTCTCATCTTGCTCACAATCATTTATTCTATCAAATAAAATCTTTTCCTAAAAGCTTCAAATGGAAGCCAGAAAATTGGTTTTCTGCAAACTCGTATCCAAGTAGTTTTACTGAGGTCTTTGGACCTACCAATCGTCATAGAGAATCCTTTCAGCTACAAAAATCTTTTTTCAGATTGTTACTAGCTATTACTATTGCGAAGGGAACTTAAAAATATAGATGTTCTAAACCTTTTGTTTGCTACTATATGTTGTTATAGACCAAAAGTTCAATAAAACGGCTATAACTTTGTAGAAAAGCCTTAGAGTGCTTATTCTTTTTGGAGTTTTTAATACTATATTGACATCTATCTTACTTACAAGGCTTGAACTCAAAAGTTGTTTTGAAATTGGGAAAGTTATGTCGTTAGTTTACTGAGAAATTTACAGAATTTTCTTTCTATCATCTGGTGTCATCTGTCTGAAATGAACATTAATGGTTATATTATTTTGCATGAGTCGATCATGATTCAGTCGATGAGATAGTAGAATGTCATCCAATCAAAACTTTGATAAAGGACGCGTCACGTCTCTATAATTCAGCTGTATGCATACCGCTGAGTTCAAAGTATTTATAAGAAACAAAAAGAAGACACGCGAAATTTTTAGAATATTTATTATTTCATTTTATATTAATTAATTTTTTTCTTATTAAAGATAATATTAATTACAATTGCAATACAATGGCTCGTGAAGATGAATATGATTACCTATTTAAAGGTGAGTTATTTTGAATATAAAACAAAAGAAAAACTGAATTATCAAGTCTATATTTTTTTTACATCTAGTGGTGCTTATCGGTGATTCAGGTGTTGGAAAGAGCAATTTACTATCACGTTTTACTCGAAATGAATTTAACTTAGAAAGTAAAAGTACAATTGGTGTTGAATTTGCTACACGGTAAACAAAAGAAAATCTTTTGTTTTTTTTTTTAAATTGGTTTGTTGTTTTTTTAGAAGTATTCAAGTTGATAAGAAGACAATCAAAGCACAAATATGGGATACAGCTGGACAAGAACGTTATCGTGCAATAACTAGTGCGTAAGTTTCTGATTGAAATTTTGAACGAATTATATTCCATAAAAATAATCTAAAAATAATTTAAAAAAATAGATATTATCGTGGTGCAGTTGGTGCTTTACTTGTTTATGATATAAGTAAACATAGTACATATGAAAATGTTGAAAGATGGTTAAAAGAATTACGTGATCATGCCGATTCAAATATTGTTATTTCACTGGTGGGTAATAAATCTGATTTACGACATTTACGTTCGGTACCAAGCGATGAAGCTAAAGCATTTTCTGGTAAATAAATCGAAATGGTTATTATTTAAATGAACTCTTTTTTGTAATATTTTAGAAAAAAATGGTGTTTCATTTATTGAAACATCAGCTTTAGATTCTACAAATGTTGAACAAGCATTCCATGCAATTCTTACTGGTAGATAAAATTTTTTGTTTGATATAATTTTGTTTGGTTTTGTTGTTTAGAAATTTATCGTATTGTTTCTCAACGTCAAATTCAAGATCGTCCAGACATGAGTGGACCGAATCCACCAGCTATGTCAGGATTTCGTCTTCCTCCAACAGATTCTGACTTTAAGTCAAAACAGAATGGATCATGTTGTTCGTAGATTATATATCCTTTTTTTTTTCTCTCTCATTAATCCATTATTGAAAACTTGATCATCTTCTTTCTTTCATTCTTTTTTTCTTTTCATTATGTAATTGGATTCTGTTTTTTTTTTTTGTTGCTCATCTTTGATTATCACACGTCTTTTTCTTTTTTTTTTCTTATCACGTGTTCACTTTTTCGAAAAACAAAACAACAAAATAACAATTATTCATGCGATATTCTGATTGAATTATTATCATACGCATGGATTTTTTGTTTTTCTTTTCTTTGATGTATGACTGTGAATTTTTGTTCGGCGTGACTGATTTTCTTTTTTATATGCTTATTTCCTGTTCTTGAAATTCATCACACATTCATCTTCGCTTTCTTTTTCTTCTTCTTCTTCTTGCAAATAAACAAAACATAGAAAGAAAAAACTATAGATAAAGTAATGATTTTCGAAAAAGCAAATATCAATTAATTATGTAGATTTTTTATTGACAGACAGTTTGCATAGGATATGAATAGATATAATGGAAAAAATAAATCTTAAAAAATAATACTTTCTAAGTGAATATTGGTCAATTGATGTCAGTTCCGGGACTGAAGTGTCTTCTTTTTTTAATTGAGCTAAGTCCAAAAGTTGTGTTTTTAATTATGGCTGAGATCAAAAACGATTTATATCATTCTTGTCGATTGTTTAGAATATTAAATAAGCTTTAATTCACATCCGAAGAAGAAAGAATTTCACTATTGCAAAAAATTTGATTTATTTTTTAAGTAATGACAAAACGTAAATATTATTTTATTACTAAAAGATCATGAGGAATTAAGAAAGGTAGAAAGGAAAGACCTTTTTATTGAGTATTATAAATCGTTTTTCTAATATAATCTCTTCTATTCATAAAATAATATTGACAAAACGATAGAAACTACCAATTTTAATAAAAAAAAACAACAACAGGAAATAGTTGTTGTTAACGGAAAACAAACTTATCATACTTATTCGAAAGAACGATACAAGTTTGATACCTGCTATACTTAAGTCATTGAGTACTCAAACTCTCCTAGTAGATTAACAAGTAATAATATAATCAATCTGTCAAAGCGTTGTGGAGACTATCGTACAGTTCTTGTCAATAATAATCGATATAGAATTGTTAAAGTCCAGAGAATTCATATCTTTTTCCAGTAGTCTATCATACTGAAGCATCTTGTTGTATATTTTAGTGAATGACTACTATAGTTAATTTCTTGAATAAGGTATTGAAGTTTTACTAATTAGTAGTTTTTTTGTTTATACCATTTAAAACTGTCAGATTTAAACATAAAAAGATCTAGAAAATTTCAAAACTTAATCATATGATGTTTGAATGATTATTAATTGTTGCTCATTCTTTAATTTAAGACTAATGATACATTTCAATTCATGTTGAAGAATGTAAGGATAGAATTTTAATTTTAAAAACTTTATTCAACTATTTCGGATCTACCGGTAAACGATCGAACTACAAAATATAGTTAGATTTTTTTATTGTTTCTAATCAACTTTAATCATAATTCATATCGATCAAAACAAAGATCTCAGGAAGAATACAACGAAAATAAGAGATTCATTAGCTAGAATAGGTTAAACTACGAGAGATAAGAATTTTATTCAGCTTCGTTCGAAAACATCACGACAGTAATTGATATGAGAAAATATTTTTGAAGCTTATGCTGAACTCTGATAGTAACTAAGACAATCCTTCAAAAAGTAAAATACAAAACTGATCGGGTGTGGTATTACAAACAAAAAGAAATTCTTATCATCTTTATTATAATATCTCAAAAGAAAAAACTTTTTTTTTCTGATAAAATTTACAGACTTGTTTCAATTAATCTGTAATAGGACAATCTATCAATCAAAAGATATAATCAGAAATACAAATAAAAATAGCCCAGAATATTTTGACATTCACAAGATAAAGTTTTTTTACCTGAATATTATCGATCATACAATAAAAACATACAAGTCAATATGAAGGATCTAAAGTTTTGTGTCTAAAAATATCTTATTTTATAATTTGATTATTATCTATCAAAATAAGTATTATCTTTTTTCTCAATCACAGAAAAATGAAATGTCAATCAATTCATTGAATCTCATAGAATATTCTTGTAAAAGTAAAGATGTTCTAATAGAAGAAAAGATAGATAATCAGTTTTAAAGAAAAGAAAAACAAAAGAGATTGCTTTAAAGAAGATTTATTTGTTCTAGCTTATATCCCTTTTTTTTTCTATTATCTTGAAAGCGGTCTTGACAATGTTTTAATGAAGAAACTCATTTCACTTGTCACTTATGTTAATATTAATTATCGTTCGATTGTTCCATTGTGATTCATTATTCCGAGGGAACTATATCGAAAAGACTCGACTGTGTGTTTTTTCTTGTCAAGATGAACTTAATAATAAAGCTATTATGTGAATATATATATATGAATTTGTTAAAAATCATAATTACTATCAAACTTGTTCGTTTTTTTTTTCTTATGGTATATATTTTAAATAAAATTTATGTACTGTCAAGATGGCTAAGCCAATCATTACATTTATCTTGATATGTATGTGGTAATAATTTTGATGAATTATCAACAGTTAATAGTGAATATCCATCAGTAGTTAATAATCTATTCTCTGGTTTAACATGTGATGTATTATGTCCACTTTCTGAAAGATCAAAAAAACTTCCATATAATGAATAACGTGATGATGAAGCAGCAGGAGAATATATACCACTATTTGGACCAAGAAAACTCATACCAATATTAATTTTAGTTGATAATGTTTGTAAATAATATGATTTTTCATTTGAAAAATAATTATTTGGATATGAATATGATCGAATAAAGAAATTTTTCAAACGATTTAATGATGAATAATGTATAGCACCGGACAAATCTTTATATGTTTCACCATAATTTGGTAAACTTAATGAACGTGATATAGATTGTTTTTTTGATGGTAATGTTGTTGTTATTGTCGTTGTAATTGTTTTTTTGATTAATTCATCATTCTCTTCAGATGAACAATTATCAATAACAAATCTAGGTGTAGGATGAATTGAACGCATATTATTTGCCATAATCTATGTCTAGAAATAAACGTCAAAAGAACTGAATCACATTTGATTAGATTTTAGTGCATTTTGGCTTTTAGCAGTGAAGCATATTTCCATCCGTTTTTCTCGTAATTACATAGCAAAAAAAAGGGTAATGCCATTCATTAAGTTCTATCATAAGCCAGGAATTCCGTAAGGACTTTTTAAGTATTTTGAGTATAGAATTTGTATAGGATGCAATCTAGGTATGCGATTCTATAACATAATTTTATTGTTTCGAAGAACAAAAAAAAAATGAAGATTTTCTTCTCATTATAACTCAAAGAAAATTTATTCTTTAACCCTTTTGTACTTACTTCAATAGGTTCAGATAACATATTTTGTACTCATATTTTCTCGACTATGTTTATCATTTGAAGTCAATTGTAATGATATATCTCAATAGATCTGTAGTTGTTTTTTTTTCCTTCTTCTCTTTGCTCTATTTTTCTGAAATCCGATTGTTGATTTTGTCTGTTCCTCTTAACAAAAGAGACTTGGAGAAAAAAAAAAAAAAAGAAAAACAAGATGGATTCTCATCCTGAATATATTCACTATCATCCACATATTTATTAATATATGGAATATATTAATACACACAAAAAAAAACCATTCTTGGATGTCTAGAATTTCTAAGTAGAAAATATGTTTTTTATCGTTTTTTAGATAATAATTTGTATCCGGATTTGAAATAGTCAATTTTTTATAAATAGTCTAATAGAATAAACAAAATTTTTTTTTTTGTTCTTTTTGAAATTACTATTTCAAACAGGAAAAAAAGAAAGATTTCTCTTGCTATTTAACGGCCGGCTTGATAACATTTGTGTTATTTTGGAAAATCTAATTGATTTTTCACTCGGATAACATAAGAAAAATGTTGTCTATTAGCATATCTGTTTTTTATAACGACTTAATTTGATTATTAAATAGACAATTTTTTTCTCAAGAAAGAGATTGAACAGAGTTCTTATAAACGTTTCGTTCAAGCATTATAAGAAATATTAACAGCAAAGTTCAATGAAGCTATTTTCTAGTTTTCTCTAAAAAAAAGAAAAAAAATGACTTTTAGCAATGGGAAGTTTCATGGATAAGATAAAAATATCACGCTGTGTACAGCAGTAAGCTTCTATAGATTTTTCAAAACCTATTAGATATTATTAAAATTTCTTTAATGACAAATCGTGACTGATATATTTGTCTATCAGAATCTATAGAACGGAAGTGTGCGCAACTTCCTTGCTATAAACTTCAATACTAATTGATAATAATATTTCAAAAACTATAATCTGAACTTCTCAACCTTGATCTATTGCTATAAAATATCAATGAAATATCATTATGATAAATATATGTTTTCTTCTTACATAATTTTTTAAGAAAAAAAGAAAACTCTTTCTACTAATTTTTGTCATATTGATTCTATGTTTAATGAATAAATATCTAATCTATTCAATTAATTAAAAGAAATTCTATGCTCATCATTGACTTAATATTAGTGCATAAAAACTAGGTCAAAAGTATTCAATTATGTATTCTTTGAATTTTTCAATGATCTTTACTCTTTAATTATAATCATACTCAAATATAAAAATACTTTTCTAAATAGTTCAGATATACTTTTTCTTTTCCTAATAATAATTATGTCTTATACTTTCTAACATTTATTGTAACTTTGACTTCTACAAAATGAGTCCTTTTGAAAAATCATTTGTAGATCATTCGACCTGAAAAATAGTGCACAATAAGAGTTCATCTATTATTACTAAGGATGATTTCGCTCTTTTCATCTTCTCTTCCCTTATACAGAGAAGCTGTTCACTACTATCAAGTCACATTGTTTTATCCCGTTCATTTTATATTTTGTTTGATGTTGTTTTTTCCGTCATTCTCTTTAACGTAACTAATTAATTCTACGGTACAAAAAACAAATATATTCGTATTGCATATCTCAACAAGATAGCGAACAAGTGAAACATGTCATATATATTTAATATAATAATCTCATGAGTAATATAATAGTGTGACTTGCATATGACAACTTCTACTTAGCTGATAAGAGAAATCAAACAATCGATGTAAACTGCATAAATAAAGCAGAATAATCTTCATATGAAAGATAACGTCATTAATTTCTATAATGGAAAAAAATAAACTACAAAATTATAAATTGAATTATTCTACTAATATTAATATACTTTTTTTTCTTATTATTAGTTTTATATGGTTTTTCTTATGGTATTTTTTCCTTGTTGAAATATATGTTTCTGTTCTAATAGAAAATTTTGTGTGCATAACATTGGAAGTTTATTATATTCCATATAGATAATTACCATTAATTGTGTTTGATTTCTATTGCAGGTAAAAGTAGAAGTTGCTACATGAAAGTCAAATTGTTAGATTACCTATGAGATTATTTTATTGCAAATATATCTTATGTTTTAACTTGTTCGCTATCCTATTGAGACATTTAACATGAATATATTTGTTCTTTGTACCGTAGAATTGATTACTTACGTTAAAGAGAATGGCGGAAAAAGAAACATCAAAAGAAAACAGAAAATGAAAGACACAAAACGATGTGACTTGGTATAGTGGTGAATAACTTTTGTGCAAAAAAGAAAAGAAAAGAGAAAGATGATAAAAAGAGAGAAATCATCCTGAACAACATATTAACTCTCGTTGAATACGATATTCATTCGAGTGCATGATATCCTGTCCGCTGATTTACTGTCCATTGATTACATTAAAAAAAAAAAGATTATATATATCTATATATATTCCAATTAGTCTCCTTTTTTTTTTTGTCTGAGGATTTGCTTTCTGTTGGATGAAGAGAAATGAAGAGTGAGAGTGGGTGTCATAGGGGTTAGAGTATAGCGAAGACATTCACACTAACTCACTCTCATCTCCGCTTTGTCCTTATTCCCATGCCATATTCACCTTTGCTAGTCATGATCTCATTTCTTTTGCTCCAAATAATCAACGGAAAGTAAATTCCCATACACAAAAAAAAAAATACAACTAATTGAAAAATATTTTTATGTAATCAATGAATAGTAGATTGTGTAAACTATTTTGCCTATCAAATGCTCAACAAGCATATTGTGAATATAATTCATTACTCATCTACGAAACGGATGATTTATCTTGTCAAAAATACTATTAAGAAATATAATTAATGTTAGAAAAGTCAAATAATCGATATTAAACTACGTAAAAATATATTCACGAAAAGATGAAATTTATGACTCTCTATGTTCAAATAATCAACAGATATGTACTATAATGCTGATATCTTTTAACTGTCACTTTTGATAATGTAAAAAGCAAAATTCTTTTATATTGTAATCATTTTTTATAAGAAGATTGGGATGTGAGAGAGATATAGAATATTTTTTATAATAATATAATCAAAATGAATCATTATTTCAAATAAAACATGAATAATTTTTTTTGTAAAATGACGTGAAATTTCGTGTTTATTTTTTGTATATGAGTAAAATATAGGTCATTTACAGTGACAAATCTCATTTATATTCATTTCATCAAATAATGTGAAGTTTACATAGCAGTTTTTTTCCTGTGATAATAATCAATGATATTTAAGAATATGTACGTAATTCTTAAATATTTGTTTTTAAGAAAATTATTATGAAAATCTTATAAGATGATCTTTCACTTTTTGATTATTTGATTTTCTTTTTATGAAAAGATTCTTTTGTTAACAATTTTGGCTTCTTTTTTTTTTTTTTCTTCCGTTTATTTTTTTTTTGTAACATGCAACATATAATGAGCTTTCACACTTCTTCAGTTCGCTGTAATGAATTATTTGATTATAGCCCACATTTATTTGGTCATGAAAAACAGATATTACACACAATCGAATGAAATACGAATAAAAGATAATTGAATTCGTTTTGACAGTATGTGAGAGAAAGACAGAGGAAAAAAAAGAAGCTGAAATAAAATACACGAAATAGACAAACAGCAAGAAAATCATTATCAAAGATGTTTTCATGTATAAATGAAAAAAAAAAACAAATGTTGACGTCATGTTTAAAACAAAAGACGTTCATTCTATAATAGAAATGTATATATTATATTGAAATTAAATTCTAGCATGTTCATAAGCAACCACAGTTGGCTGTTGTTGTTGTTGTTGTTGTTGTTGTTGTTGATAGAAATTCATATCATTATTAGTATTATTATTAATAATTCTAACACCATGTTGTTGTTGTCCTTGATAAGGATAAGGTATTTGTTGTTGATAATAAAATGGAGTATTATATGTTGATGGTGAATGCATTGATCTTGTCATTTGTGGTTGGTGTTGTTGTTGTTGTTGTTCTTGTTCTTGTTGTCGTCTTTGTTCAGGCAAAAATTGAGCTGATGTTTGAAAACTTCCATTTTGATGTTTTTGTGTAATAAATTGTTGTATAAGTTGAGGATCAATTTGACCATGTGGATCTTGTTGTCGAATTGCACTCCAATCAATAATTGGTTCTGTAAATACAGGTGCAAATGGTGTTTGATAAGCTTCTTGATTAAGTGCACCATATGATGCTGAACGATTTAAATCCATTTGCACAGGTTGTACATGTTGAAAATTCATATTATAATTATTTGGTATTGATTGATTATCTGAACCAGTTCGTTGTCGTGGTGGTCCTTCACGATGTGTTAAATCAACAGCTGGTTGCCATTGTTTAGGTAAAGTAAATGGTTGTTGTGTTGTATTCGAAATTGATGATGGTATAAGACGTGTATTAATAGCATTAGATAATTCATGAATATCCGAATCATTAATTATTTGATTTTCTGTTCCTATATTTGTAACCATAAATTCAATACGTTTACCAGATGTTGTTATATATTGATAACGACGTTGTGGCTCAAGTGTACGTATATGTTCAATATTTATTGATGATTGTTGATCATATATTGATGAATTTTGAGGATGAAATAACATTGATTGTTGTCTTAATGGCATACGTGGTGGTGGTGGTGGAATATTTTCATGTAATATTGGTTGTTGTTGCTGTTGGTGTTGTTGTTGTTGTTGTTGTTGCTGTTGTTGTTGTTGTTGTTGTTGTTGTTGTTGTTGTTGTTGTTGAGGAATCGTTGATGATTGTTGTGAACGAAATTGTGATAATAATTCTGGATCATCAATAACATATTCTCGAATAAATGTACCATCAGGTTGTGGAACTTCTCGTGCTGTAACACCAGACATTTTAATTAAATCATCAACACGATCAATTGATATTGCATTTCCATTTTCATCAATAATTTCATATTGATTATTTGTTTGTTGTTTAGTTTCATTTATTGATGATATTGGTGTTAATGTTTTTGGATGATGACGATATTCTTCACCTTGTCGATGTATACGTTGAACTTCTTCATCAGCTTCATCAGCTGAATTTAAACGTCGAATTGATGAATTTAATGTTGATTGTGAATATTGACTATTCGAAGTATTTTGACTTATATTTGAAGATATTCGGGATGCAACAGGCATTTCAACACTTGTTCGATGAATTATTGATGAATCAGTTGATCCTGGTCGATTTCTCATATATAATTCATTTGTTTGTTTATCAGAAATTGGACGTGTTGTTGTTGTTGTTGTATTACTACTAGCTAAAGATGATGATGATGATGGTGATGCCATAATATTTCTTGAAGATTTTTGTTCAAATTTAGCTTTTATTTGTGCAAATTTATGTTTTGATGTTTGTTGTTCGTCGTCTGAACCTGTTGTTGATGATGTTGAAATTAATGATGGTTTTATTCCTTTAAGTAAATTTGGATCGTCAATAATATATTCTGAATAAATAAATAAAAAAATAACATTTAATTTGCGTTATTTTATATTATATATATATATATAAATATATAAATAAATAAATAACATAAAAAAAAGTCACATGTATTCACCTCGTACAATCGATCCGTCAGCTTGTTTTATTTCACGGACATTTGATGCATAGTTTCTCCAATTATCGCCATAACGATTTTTTATTGTGTCTGCATCATAACGTTGTATTTGTTCGTTAGCAAATAGTTGATCATCATTATTATTATGTGTTGATGAATAGAATGACTGTGGATTTGTTCTTGTTGTCATTGTTTCTATTTTTAGTACTTGTATATGAATTTGAATTGTTAGTTAGATGAGTAGGATGATAAGAAAGAAGAAGGAGAAGAAGAAAAAAAAAGATACTGTTGTGCATTGGTGCGTGACGAATCACCTATATGGTTGAATATGAAACATTACTGAAAAGTATACACTAGTTTTTTTTTCTTTTTCTTTATTATATTGCAACCTTGTCATTATTCTCATAAATGAATTGAACTATGAAATAAAAATAAGACGCCTGTCTTTTGCTTGCAAACATCAATTGAAATGTTTCTTATTTTTTTTTTGTTCTTTCTCATCTTGAAATCAATGAAATAATAACAAAAAAACAAACATACAAATATGTTTAACAATGCAAGAACAAAAACAAAACAAAAAAGACCAGTTTATCTATTCTATTTTAAGATGATTTATCTGATCTCGTATTTGATCATAAACAGGTGATACACGATAACCATAAAATCTTGCTTTTTCTAATTCACGTTTAACATAATGTTCAGCATTAAATTGTTCAGCTTTACCAAGTATAATTGAATTTTCCATATCATATAATTTACCACGACGTTTTATTTTTTCACGTAATTTTTTAAGTAAATCATATTTAAATTTTTTTAACCATTTCTTTTTATGATGTAAACGCATACGACGTGAACGATATGCAACAGTATTTATTAAACGACTTGGATGATTACGTATACGTCTTTGACGTTTATAACGATAATTTGTTGATGTCCAAGCACATTGAATTTTTTCATTTGGTAATGCTGGACAATCATAATAAAGAAGATCATCATATAATGAACATTTATCCAGTATAGATATTGTATTTGTTGTTGTTATCGAAGCTGGAAGTGTAGCAGGCATTGGAACTGTTTGTGAGGTTGGTAATTGTAGAGGTAAAGGTATACGAAAATTAGTAGGCTGATATCCAATTGATGAAGATATTCCGCCTAAAATAAAATAGAAAATTATGATGTTTTTTTTCAAATTTTAATGTTCATACTCGATGACGGCATCATACTGAATCGTCGATATAAACATGTTCCAAATTGTTTGCCTATTATAGAAATTCCAAAACATTGTCTTAAAAACATTATTATCTAAAGAACGAAAAACAAAATGAAGATTATTACACACATGTAAATATAACTTCAAATCATATTCGTTATTGTCTGCTTGTTCAACTTTACTTTTTTTTGTTTTTCTTTTGCGTTTTGTATACCAATAAATTCAAATAATGCGCACACACAAAAGAAAAACAAACCAAAACAAATAGATATAGAGATATAGATTTAAAACAAAAAAGAAAAAAGAAAATGATAGACATGGCCTAACAAGAAAAGAAGACAGAAAAAAAATATCAAACTTTATATATTTTGTTTTTTTTTTTTTTTTTTTTTTTTTTGTTTTTTGTTAATATGCATTGCGTCAACTTATATAGTGGCTATTACAATGTGGCATAAACACAAAACAAAATTCGCATAGAAACATATGATATAATTGGAGTTACAAGATATAGATATATATATGAGGAAATTTCTTCGTTTTGGCTCTATTCAACATCATCATCAATTTTCGTTCTCTTTACTTATACATATATAAATATATAAATACAATCTGTAGAGAGAAAAAAAAAAGAGATATACACATACAAACAAAATTGAATAACAATCAAGACAAAAAGAAAAGAATTTATGTGACTTTATTTTGATAGATGAGCAAAAAGAAAAAAGAAAACCACTAGAGAGAGAGAGAGAAAAAGATTTTTAAATGATATTCATATAAACAGTCCGAGAAGAAAACAAAAAAGATAAACAATTTGATTATCTCGAAAAAAGAAAAACAATCAAGCCGAACTATTAGATTTAATGGTGTTGTTTATTGATTTGTCTTACTTTTCGACATTCAAATAATTGTGGATAAAATTCATTTACTGCCGTATTGATAAGTTCGACGGACGGCGCTACAATGAATAGAAAAGAAAACAGATATTATTATAAATATAACTTAAGATTTCAATACGAAATTTCGCTTCCTTTTACATAATCTGAAAATAATCAAGTTATAATTGCCACTTACTCTTGAGCGGAGTTCGTAAGACATAGACCAGTTCCACAGTACTGAGAAATGACACATCAGTCGATACAATTTTTTAAACTAATTCCAAATATATCTTTTTAGAAAACGAAGAATTATTACTTTTCTTATAAATCGATAGAACAGAAGTTCGAATTCCAGACTACATATGATTTATTGTCCAACTCTTAAAAAAAATGATGTTTTTCTTTCTAAAGGTTGCTTAAATTCGACTTTCTTTTGCGACTAAGTTTCTCCAATGAATTTAGAAGCTGGAACAGCATTTCTTTTTTTTTATCAAACTGATCATTAACTAAAATGTATATAAGTTACTATTACAACCTCGAAAAAGCTCACTTTCATTTTTTTTTTCACCTAATGTTCACTGTATGTTCATATCCGGAATCTAACCCACGAAGAAAAATCATATACGAACTGATTTCGATTCCTGTGCTCTCCTATGGAGAATAAACAGAAGTTGCTAAAATAGTCTGCTGACTTTCTGATCCGGATTACTGCTTTCGAGTTGCATTGATTTCCGATCGGATACTGTGACTTTCTCGCATGCTTCCGACCAGTTCCGATTAAATTCGCTTATTTCCGGAGGTCTTAGTAATCGTCTTGGGATTAGTTACTAAGACAAAAAGATAGTCACGCTAAAAGATAAAAATATTCAATAATAAGAAAGAAAATTTTTTTTTAATATTTACTCTCAAGAAATTATGTCGACCTTCTTCGGGAGTGTCCAAAATGCAGAGATAACATAATGATTTAATGAATTTATATTTGTTTGTAAAAACTTAAGATTACTAATCAGTCATATACAAATATATTGCATGTTTGTATACAAAAACAACCGTTGTATAAACTCAATGATTGATACTTTAATATGAAAAGATTTAAGAAGATTTCAGATGACAATCCATTAATTTAACTTTAGAAATAAACTAAAACAATTCTATTTCCATCTAACTAAACCGAATCTTAAAAGTATTCTCATTTTGTAATCTTCTGCTCATACTAAGAAAGGAACAACACATTGTTCGTTAAATTACATAGATAGTTCAATGCTATCTCGATTGATGACATCTTATAATTAAGACCGATAAGAATACCAAACTAATATAAGATAGAAGCAAAAGATATATATATTTATATATAAACTAGATCGTTAGCTGGCTGACATTTACTAACCTCTCTTTCTCTCATTTCCACAATATAGAAAGTTAAAAAAGGGGCGTAAACTGCAAACTGATATATAGCGGATGATTCATAACAAATAGTCCACTTTTATTTTGAACTTTTGAGAGATTTACAACAATGATTTCAAAATTTTCATTCTAATCTCACTAGATAATTGATTTAATCCTACACAAAACTGTCGATCTTGTCTTTCATAAGGGATTTTTTTTTTGTGTCAATATTATATGGACGTAATTAACACGTACTCAATCGTATCGATACGAAAGCCAAAAAGAAAAATAAGAAAGTCATAGAAATTTTTTAAGAAACGGATCAACTGAATTATGTAAAAATATTCTATAGAAAATTATTTATATTTCAATGTAATTTTTAGAATTTGCGAACAAATATTTGAGAAAGAAAATATCGAAACAACACGATGCTACATTCATCAACGCATAGAGCAAACAATTGTTTAAATGTATCAAATAGAGAAAAAAAAAGTAGATCATTTAAAATGAAATAACTATTCCTAGTAATGCTGCTTTTTTTTACGAGATATATTTTCATATTACCTGTCAATGTAATACTACCAGTCGTAAAAACTTTGAGAACAACTTTATTGTTTAATCTGACTGTAGCACCCGGATGAATTTCGGGTTCATAACTAAATAAATTCAACATAATAAAATAAAAACAAATATTTTCACTTTTTTTTTTTTACCTGACACATTCTGGATATATTCGACTTAATTTAATAATATCAATTGGCCATGGCATTGAACATGTTGCAAGACAATTGACAATACGATAATTTCGAAATTTGATTTTGAATCCAAGCCGTTGTAAACATCGAGCAATACGTCGTGCTGCACGTTGTGCATCATCCTCACTGGAATACGTAGCAGTATACACTTTATATGTGATACAACTACTTTTAAATTTTTCTTATACACACACCTCGTTGTTCCTGTTACTATCACTTTGCCCGATGACCAGACGTTGGCTGAACAATATGGATTTCGCATCTTCATCAATACCATCTATATGAGAGGAGATAAAAAAAAACAATCCTTATTTTTAGATTTATGTATTTTACCGCATGATCACGTTTATAAATAACATTTGCAGCTTCCATAGCAATTTTACGTAGATTCAATTTACAACCAAGTGCAAATGAACATACAACATTATTTACAAATAATTCTATTTCAGAATCATGTTGATTACGATCGATATCTATATCATTACCTAATAAAGAAGTCTAAAAAAAACAGACAAAGTTTTATTGTATTTTTTTTTTATTTGATAAAAATAATTCTTAAAAATTTCTTCATTTTTTTCCACCTGCTCTTCTAAATTTTCACTAGGTATTTGTTGTCGTTGAATTGTTGATGTTGTTAATCGTCCAAGAAAAGATGTATCAACACATGTATCTGATGATAAACTATTATTTGAAGATGATATTATTGGATTTTGTCCACTTATTGTTGTATTACTATTATTAAGTATTGTAAATGATGGTGTTATATGACGTACTGTTTGTGTAGATTGACGAATAATATTAGTCGTTGTTGGTGATGATTGTGTTGCTATATAAAATGTTGAAGAATTTCCATTTAATATTGAAACAACTGATGGTGTTGGTGTTGTTAAACACCATGAAGGATTTGTTGAAGAAGAAGATGGTACAAGTGTATGATGATTAGTTGATGTATTCATTATTTGAAAACTAGGACGAACGACAGCAGCATTTGGAACCGCAGAAGAAGTTACATTTGTTGTTTGAAACATGATTTTTTTATCTGACACAAATTTTAAATTAATTTTTTAAAAATATTGACAGTACATATGTTGTTCTTTTTTTTCTGAGCACACCGTCTGCTGTCTCGCAGCTGATCATTTCGATCGTTGTTTTATATTCTACGGTTACCATGAGACAATTATATGTGCCTCTATACATGTTCATGTTTTATTCGTCCATAGTTTATTGATATTATTATTCCAAAGTTTTATTCAGAAATTTTTTTTTACATTAAAAAAAACAATATAGAGTGTTTCTAAAGTTTTGAATTAATTTTAGAATCTATCCCCTTTGTACATATAACAAAAATTTCTTTAGTCTGAATCTTTAAGTCGTTCTGAAGATGCAAGATATTTTTTTTTATCGATTATTTGTATTTTATGACTAGCACACCCTACATATTTCTTAAGCAAGCTTGACGATAATCTTATAATATAAACAAGTGATCTATTAGATCACTTCTGAACCGACAGGCTTTAATTGAGAAGTAATAGAAACGGTCACACATATATTAGGAATCGCAGTGGCCTATGTGTTGAAACCAGAATGTTATAAAACTTCTTTTATTATTTTTGTACAGAATAAACTCTGTATATAATTGGAGATAGTAATAGCAAATTTGTAATATTGGCTTCTCTAACAATTATTCAAGCTACACTTATTCCTTCAATGCTAGTTCTTAAAAATTTATTAATAACAAAATAACATATAGTATATTTAATATAATTGTAGACATTATTTTTACTCTTCTGCTTTGTATCGGTTTAAATTAAATTTTTTAAAACTATCGTGAAATTCTGTTGAAATTTATCTATTTTGTTCAATAAATGGTATCACTTTTATTTCTGAAACTCAGAGATTGTTTTAGTAAACTATTGAGTGCAATACTCAATATTTTCATATATTCAATGGGAAAAGAGCGAGACTTGAGTAGTCTGAAGTACGAGCCTTTATTGGTATTTCACTGCACTTCACTCTTTCTTCAAAGTACTGAACTCTTGCTTTTTTCTCCCTTGCAAATACCTCTTTGAATATTATATAAAAGTAAATCTTGTCAAGTTTTCCATGAGTACATCTTAGTTCGTAGAACTTGATTTTATTAATGATAACGTGCTTTAAACCATGAATTAAGAATTGTATCAGAACAGAACTTAAATCTTAACGAAGTATGTAGAACTGAAATCAACTGGATGGTATCTCGACAAAGTCGACTATGCGAAATAAGGTGTGAAGCATAATTATCGATTATCCAAAGTAATCGAAATCTTGGAAAAATGAATAATCGCCTCTACGGTTTGTCATAAAACGATTTTCGTCGAAAGATATTCATGTTTTATGGGAATGAGGCTTTCTTTGTCTTAGTAATTTGGAAAAAAAAGTATCTATTTCAATCGATCAGTTCACCGAAGTCAAACCGAAAATGAAAAGCAGATATGCCAAAATTCATCATTATGAGAACTGTGTGAAAGCCTATCACCTTGTTTCTAAAGAACAATATCGGTTGATTCTTTGATTATGTAGATGATTCATTATCGACCATCACCTGTATTAATAGCTGTGATACATATAATTAGAGCGAGTGGCGGCTAACTTTTCTTGCTCTCTTTGTTTTGATTAGCTCATGTTTTGAAAAAAAAGGGTGTGAGTATGTGAGTGAGAGTGTGGTTGAAAAGAATCACACCCATCTCCCACCCATACATCCTCATTCACCCTCAACTCATACATCTAACCCGCACACCCACCCCACATCCACACCCTCAGGTTTAAAAATTTAAAAAGGATAAACCTTTCAGGCCTTACCTCAAGAAAAATATCCATTATATTATAATTTCAGCCTGCAGGATGGTTCACACCGACATTTTGAATGATGGTATTTCGACTTGAAATTTTACCCACATATAGATCTTCATGTAACTAAGAATTTTTCCTTCATGAGATATTGAGCTTTCAAAAAGCGTGAGATTCTCGCATCTTTCATGAGATATCAGTAATGTTTAGAAATTCGATATCTCGTGCAGAAAACATTTTTTTTGAGCTGAAATTCTTACGACACTTAAGTTACAATTAGGCCTATTTGCGAGCAAAATTTCAAGTCTACATACCACTATTCAATATCTTGGTGTACTACATGCTAGATGCTAAAATTTCAGTAAAGGACATGGCTGTGGGTGTGATTTTAGGTGAAAAGAGCACCGCTCACACTCACACCCATTACTTATCGTTTCCTGATTAATTATTACGATGATAATAAAGTATAAACCTAGTTTTTTATGCTAAGTTGTTTTTGTATAAACAATTCTAACTCAAACTAATTTTTGAAGATCATCATTTTTTGTATTATATTTAGCTAAGACTAATAGGCTACAAACAATGGATGTAGCAGTGTGTAACTCGATTAAACACTCAACTTCTTATTACTAATAAAAATCGTGCAGTAAATTCCACCATGTAACTGTATCATGCACCAAATTTATTAAGCAAAATTTCTCCTGTTGTTTAAAAAAGTACACTTTCATTTTCAAAATAAATCAATGATGGTTATTTTAAATCGTTTTGAAGAAGCATCTTATAATAAACTCCACGTTGTTGTATCAATTCTGTATCAGTACCACTTTCCAATATATGTCCTCTATCAAGTACACAAATCAAATCACATGAACGAATAGTCAATAGACGATGAGCAACAATGAGTGATGTTCGACTAGGATCCTCTATTTGGGCTTGTTCAAGAGCGTCTTGTGCAATTTATCATTAAGAAATCAAGATGAAGCTGTCATCGACAAATAAAAAAATCTTACTTGTTAATTGTATGAATCCATGGCACTCGTAGCTTCATCTAAGAGCAATACTTTAGGTCGACGAAGAAGAACACGAGCAATAGCAATATGCTGCTTCTCGCCACCTGACAGAAAACTGCCTTTCAACCCTACTTTTGTTTCATAACCCTAACAAAATATATCATACTATAATAATAAATACTTCATATAATTTTGTATTGTTTAACCTGAGGTAATTGTTCAATAAATTGATGAATATTAGCTTTCCTTGCTGCATTGATAATGTCTTCCATTGAAACATTTTCTAATGCATATGCAATATTTTCAGCAATTGTTAAATCGAACAAAATTGGTTCTTGACTGACAAGACCGAAATGAGAACGAACCCATTGAAGGTTTAATTGTCGAATATCAATGCCATCAAGAAACTAGATTAAGTGGAAATTTTTTATATGATGATTTAAACTATACTTTGAAGAAATATTAACTAGTTGACCACTTGTAACATCATAGAATCGTTCCAACAGTTGAATAATTGTTGATTTTCCACAACCAGATGCTCCTGTACAGGTTATATTACATAATTAACATTTAAGAGAAAAAATTTTTTGAAACATACCAACAAGAGCGACACGTTGACCTTATCAGTGAACAAAAATATTCTTTAAAAATGATGAAATCAAAACTTATCTCACTTACTTGGTTTGATATTCAATTGAAATTTATTAAGAATAATAGATGTTGGTCGACTTGGATAGATAAATTTGACTTGATCAAATTTTATCTCACCACGAAAATCAACCTGTACAAATCATATTATATCCATAGTATATCCATGATTGAAAGAAAATAGTTATCTTCCAAGTTCTCTTACCAATTATTGTCCTTCAGTAGATGTATTGTCGATAGTTGGTATTCGATCAAATAAATCAAAAAATGCTTCAGCACCAGAAACTGATAAAGCGATACGATTAGATCTACGACAGAGATAGTCGAAGAAAAAAGAAAAGTAGAGATTGCAAATGTTACAGCATCCCGATGATTCTTAGTACTTCGGTCAAAAAGACAGTAAAAGCAACGACCCTAATAAATTCAAAAGATAACAAAACATTGTCTTTTGATTATCAAACTGTGGCTTTAATTACATTAAGATATGATTCAACGGAAGTTTGTTCTTTTCAAAGAGGACCAGAGCACGCCAATACAAAAATGCCGTAGTGTGTACATCTAGCGTCCAGTATATGCCATATGCGATTGAATTTAGTATCATAGGTTTCCAAGACAACCTATGACGAAACAAGATTGATTAAAAATTCATACATACGTAATGTTCAAATGACCAACATAAATACTTGATGGATGAATTCAGAATATTGTCGTAAAATTTCATTTTCTACAGATAGCTGTTTTATTGTACGCATATTGTGAATAACTTCAACAGCAAGCTGCGTAAATAAAAGACAGAATTAATATGGTATTTAGGGCATATCAAAAGTACTGAAATTTACTGGTAATCTTCTACAGAGAGAAGATAACCAAGCTTTTATTCCAGTCATTATTGGGGCTCGTACTTGTACTAACCTATGCACAATCGATTTGTTTCAAGATATTTATATAAAGCTTTTTTCAAATAATTTTTCATTAAAAAAAATCATCATCTTGATTACAGCATTCAACACCATGATTAAGGGTTCTTTAACTGACTAAGCTTATCAATCAAATCGAATACCAGACAAGTACGTAGTACTAAACCCATATAATAAGGAGAATTAAGTATAATTGTGATGTGTTGTAATGCGAGATAGTAAAAACATCTTTATCTAATATATAGTCGAGCTTCACCATTATGATTTTTTTATGTCCTGAGTAGTATCTGATGAGTTTTACCCTCGCATTCCACGGCGAGAAATTTTAAGGGATTATTGATGTAAGATCGAAGATTAGACGTCTGTCCTCTTCTCATATTGATATCTTTTTCTGGAATCCTAAACTAGCTGTTCGAAGACAACCCAGAAAGCATCATTTTCAGTTCTGCTTATTGAGCACAAATAAAATTGGTACAGATTCTTTGCCTGTAATTCTTCTAGCTCAAAACCTGTGGACCTATCTATGTGTTACAGAATTATAGTTTATCACCTACTACCATTCCATAGAATTGCTGTAGTTCTTTAACCGGTCATGTCCATCAAAATTTGATTGACCAAAATAGTTCCGAGTCGCTAAATTGGGTGCTGTAATCAAGATGATGATTTTTTTAATGAAAAATTATTTGAAAAAAGCTTTATATAAATATCTTGAAACAAATCGATTGTGCGCAGGTTAGCACAAGTATCAGCCCCAATAATGACTGAAATAAAAGCTTGGTTATCTTCTCTCCGTAGAGGATTACCAGCAAATCTCAGTACTTTTGTTATGTCCTAAGTGTATTCGATTTATCAAATCATTCACGATATTTCAGTTTTTCCTACATAAAAAGATTATTAGATAAAATTTGACTTTACCGTGCTTGCTCGGTCGACAATTTCATTGGATTTTTGAGTCACCCATAGGCGTACCCGCACATCGCCATAGATGACTATGGATAGGATAAAAAGAGGGCAAAAGACGACCAATGTTAATTGCCAACTTATGAGACATCCAAGTGAAATTCCAAAAAACATCAGTGCAAGAGTCTCACAAATGACTCCTAATCGAGTACCAGTCATGTCTTGAACAGCTGATGCATCGGAAGAAAGTCGAGTACAAATCGCACCAGAACTGTTCTCAGATCGATCGAAATAAGCCACTTCTTGACGAAGAAGACATGCAAAAGCTTTCGAACGAATACGTTCTGTCAATTTCGATCCTGATATGGCAAAAGCTGTATACTATAAAAAAAAGAGTGAATAATTTCATTGATCAAATTCAGAAGTAGTATTTTTACTTGAAAGAAACGAAAAATCAATAAAAGACAACCCACAAGTAAAAAATGAAAACTGGTACTCAATACTTGATGATTTCGCTCAGAGATTGTGGAATATTTGAATGCCTACATAATAAACAAATCGACATAAAATGATGTATATTCTCAATCTTTTTGCACGATAAATATGGGTTGCATACTCACACCGACTATTTTAACAAGTAAAAGTGCGAACATTGGTTGAGCTGCTCCACTAAGTACGCATGCTATACAACCAATCAAGATGGTGATCCATTCAGGACTATTCACTGACAAGAGCCTTAAAAAAATGAATCTTTTTCTCAATGGTTTTGAACTTTGCTGAAAGAAAGATTCATAACAATAGTTTTTATAAGTAATTACAATAGTATTCGTACTTTGTTCACATCAACAGCTTGACTATCGCTAATTAAACGAGTACGTCCAACTATCCAAGAAAAAAGATCAAGAAAAGTGAAGACTATCACTATTAGAATATTAACATACGTATCAACTTTTCTTCTTCTTCTGTTGCTTTTTGCATGCTCATCATATCATCATTATCATCATTGGTCCTTACAATTTGTTGACATTTGACAATTGCTTGATATTTGCCTCCTTCTTTTGCTATCAATGTTTCATGTGTACCTTGCTCAATCACAGTTCCATTATCTAATACATATATTTGATGAGCATTTTGAATTGTAGTCAAACGATGAGCAATTACAATAGTTGTACGATCTATACTAAATGTTATATCCATAAGATTAGCAAGAAAACAATCTTTACCTTTGCATGCTCGATCGAGCGCTTGAACAATTTTTTCGTTTACATTATCAAGTGCACTTGTTGCTTCATCCAGTAAAAGAAAAGTAGGCTGTTTGACAAGACCACGAGCTAATGCAATACGTTGTTTTTCACCACCACTCAACTGTATACCACACTCACCAATAAGTGTTTCATATTTCTAAACAAGAAATAAGGATACATATATGCAGATAAAGATGTAAGATTTGGCACAAACATCCGGTAATTGCATGATAAAATGATGTGCATTTGCTTCTCGTGCTGCTTGTTCGATTTCTTCTCGTGTTGCATTTACTTTACCAAGACGAATATTTTCATAAATATTCATAGCAAACAGAATCTATTGCGATAGTAAACTTAATAGAAAGAGAGAAAAGAAAAACGAAAAAGAAAATATACGGGTTCTTGATTAACAACTCCAATATTTTGCCGAAGTTGTTTGATATTGTAATCTGTTATCGATCGACCACTGGTCGTTATTTGACCAGAAGAAGGTTTATAGTAACGAAGAAGCAGTGATATACATGTACTTTTTCCTATGAATAAATGATGAATACAACTGACATCGCTTTAACATTTTTGTTTTTGAAAAGACTTACCACAGCCACTTGAACCTACGAGAGCAGTTGTCTGACCAGTACGAGCAATAAGAGAGAGACAACGCAGAACTGGTGCATCTTTACGAGATGGATATACAAAGTTGACATTGTCAAATTCCACATCACCATTTGTATCACATATCGATACTGTATCCTCGTTCCATACTTCTTTTTCATTGATATTTGCGTCATTTCCCTATATAATATAAACAAATTGAAAATATTGCTATCGACATAAGACCTGAATTTATTTGGATTTACCTCGTCAATAAGTCGAAACACCGCAGCTGCTGCACCTCGAGCTTCTGAAAATGATTGAAAGAAAGGAACAACAAAACTGAAGAAACCAACAAATTTTCCAAAAATGGAGACGACCTGTGTTAAGATAGTAGTCGAATATTTATTTCCTTATTGACTGATGACATAAATTACTCACGACAAGAATATTACTAATGTTCATACTAAGATGAGCTTTGCTTGACATAAAAAAAGAACCAAAGAAGAAACCAACTGCATAAACTAGATAGGTCATTAGAGATAGCCATCCAGTAAAAAGCCCAAACACTGCACCTTGACGTATACTACTCCAACGAGCTGAATGTAACTGTCTTTCATATCTAAATTCAATAAAAATAATAATATGTTTTATCATAATGTGTAAGTAAACTAGTTTTATATATTCTTTTACCGTCTTTGTTCATAGTTACTACCATTGAAAGAAAGAACAGTTCGAAGTGAACTAAACACTTCTTGAACAATTTGTTCCGCTTTCGCGTATGCTCTTAACTCATTCATTGTTTCACTCGAGGTGAGCTATAACGATTCATACAGATTTAAGTTGTTGAACAATACTTCATACCTTAGAAAATAGAAATAAACTACCAATGACCAAAGTTAACAAGCATAACATGATCAAAGTTAATTGCCAGTAGACAATGAAACATAGTATTAAATAACCAATGATGAAGAATAACGTTGCAATCACTAGTAAGAGTTCGGAACCAATGCCGTTCTCGATCTTTAAAATGTTACTTTAAAAGAATTGACTCACATGAAATCATTTGATATAAAGTATGACGATAGCTTACTTAAATAGTTTAGCATTGATTTGAATAGTCGATTTGGTATCTATATAAGAAATGCTCTAAAAACAGAGATAGAGAGAGAAAAATAGTCAGAGTTGGACGAATTCGACTCTATCTATATTCTCTAATTTCCAATTTATCTGCAATATTATAGTTTTTGAAAATTTTATTGCAAATCTGGTTGTAAAAAGTCACGTTCTACAATATTTTAGTTTAAATGGTTGAATTCTTTTACATTTGTCTCTGCAATCGGTGCTTTTACTCTTACCTTTTTTTATTTTAACTTGACAACTTACCAAGTCAACAGATGTTTAATCGTTATTGAGAAAAATTCATCACCTCTATATCCATTCCAACTATGATTTAAGCCGACAGCAATTTCATCCCTACTACACTCATCAAATATCAAGTTCTATTGTACAAAAGATCTCATAAAGCAATCTTTCGTCATGCCTCCCTTTGATTATAATGGTTTTCTGCTTATCGATACTAGATGGTATTATAGTGAAAACTCTAACAGTGCTTACTGATATTTGACGAGCTACGGGTACTTTAAAGTTTTTTTTTGCCAGAGGCCTTCATAGAACCGCGAATTTTGTGAAAATTCGTGTTTTTGAATTTTATCGTGGAAATATCTCTATTCAAATATCTCATATAAACTAGCATGCATGAAGAATTTGAGAGCTTGCAGGTTTCGTATCTCCACGATATTAGCTTTTTAAGAATAGATGCTTTTTAAACCTTATCGAAAAAATACAAGAATATGTTGATAAGTTCGTATCTCAGAGATCCAAAATCTATAAATTCTGAAACTCTTCATACGAGCTACTGTATATGAGATCTTCAAACGAAGATAGTTTCAAGATGAAATTCAAAAGCACGATTTTTCTGACCATCTGAGATTCCAGAAGGTTCTCTGGTAAATAAACGCTTTAAAATATCAGTAACTTGTCAAGTCTCAATAGGGAATGGAATTCTTTAGAGTTTTAGCTTCGATACTATGTAGTATATATGGGCAAAAAATTATTGAAATCAGAAGACAACATCTATAAGGGTTTCCTCATAAGTTGATGCAATTCTACTGCAACTCGCGTTGATAAAAGTGTGAACTCCACAGTTAAATCCATTTCGAGTTGTAGTGGCGCATCTTTGGAAAGAGTTAGGCCTTTCAATACACGCTAAACTAAGATATATGCCAAATGATAGAAATAACTACATGAGTCCATCACTTTTGCTTTTACTGTTCTTTTAGAGCTACAATATACAAACTTCTGTTTTCCAGAAATATGTCTAGTTTTACTATTTTGAAAAGTGTATCAATAGTGAAGATGTCTATCTTCGTAACTGTAAAGTCATTATCGACTGAAATTGAAAGTTGTTCAAAAAGTAATAAATGATCGTTATCGTTCTAATTATAAATCTTCGAAACAATTATAGTTCTATCAGCCTCCAACAAAGTATGTAGTATGCCAATGATAGCGAACTTGAGAATACATCTGTAATGTTGTCGTAAATCCTTAGTTTTAGATCTAGAATTCCCTGACATCTAGGTATCCCTAGATATATATAATTTTTTTTCGAAATATTTTAGTCTATTTCGTGGGTTAGTTAGAATCATGAATTTCTTAAAGAGAACGAACATAAGATTCTATACGCTTTTGGAAGCGCTAAGAAAAGACTGGAATTCCTTTTTGGAGAAAATTTTTTGTAAATGGAAGATTATTAACTTACATGCTGAATAAGTGATCGAAAGAGGGAAGTATTCATACGACATATCTGCCGTTTCACAGTAACATTCCACAAGAAATTTCCAATCGAGCAAGACAGACATTCGACAGTGCCGATAACTAAAGTTGATAAGGAAAAAAAGACCATTTTCATTATTTTTTCTAATCAAATTATTACGTTCGTTTCACTTACTGAATAACCAGTAAACGAGAGTCATAACGTCTTCTCTAAATGAAGGTATTGATGTAGTTAAAGTTAATGACAAATTTACATCACTACTATGACACAGTCTAAAGTGAAAAAAAATACCAAAGGAAAATAATTAAAAGAAATACATAGTAGCTAATAATAGGTTTTAGTGAACTACTTACGCAAAGAATCATTGTTGACTGTATTGATCTCGATCTCTTGAGGATATGTATTGTTATTCTTAGTTAGAGCTGTTGACATTTTGTGTTGATGATCACAATTATCACCAAAAGATTTAAAAGCGAATATTCCTGTGAGTCGACCGAAGGCAACTTGATGAGCTACAATGCAAACCGTCTCTGGCACTAGCAAGCATAGAGCAGTTCACATTAGAACACAATCAACACTATTTGCAAACCGAAACTACGATAAAATCAAATACATCAATCAATTTGTATTTCGTCTAAATACACTCACTAAACGAAAAACACCTATAGCTGCATCTTTGTCACTGTTTTCGGTATCGTCGTCTAATATAATATATTTATCGTTCTTTTTCTTATTGAAGAATCGACGCCAATCAGAAAAACTATGAAAAATGATAAATTAATTATATTTTTCTCAAAGTTATTTATTTAATAGATCGTACCTATTGATCGAAAGTTGTTTCTTGTTTCCATTATTATTATCATCACTGATAGAGCATTTATTGGATGCATTTAACAGAGGTTGTCCATCACTCATTTGACGTTTATTTCAAATATTCTGTCATGAAAAATATCGACGATAAGTATATACGAACGTTAATTCAAAAAGTAATTTGTAACGCTTGATTTGACTCCTTATGGGTTACATTCTTCTTTTATCTGTTTTACGATTACACGAATAGTCACGTGTAATCAAGCAAGTATCAAATACATTAGACAGAATCAAGGCGAGATGCAATTTTTTTATTTTATTCTCAGGTATACATATTGGGTATGAGTCTTCTTCTCAATTAGTCTGTACAAATAAATAAAATACAAATAGCAGAAAACCAAGCAAACTTGCTAAGAAATGCTGACTGAGGGTGCCAATGGACATATCATCTTATGTGATATCTTTTCTTTCTCGGTGTGTTCTTTTACAGTCAATGATGCGTAGTGTTCACACTCGCGTTACCGTTACGTTTATCTATGCATGATTAAATGTTCTTCTCTCACTGCCGTAATGAACTTCTCATTCTATATCATCATTCACTCGTATATTATATGTATTGTTCTCACCTATCTATTCATACGCTATGTTCTTACTGTATTGTTTTTCTATATGTGTTCTCTCCTTGGCCTCATCTTCTTTCTTTTCATCCTCTCTTATTCTACTGCCTTTCTTTCGAGTCCACACACCAATAACAATTGCCAATGTAAAACTAGCTACTTTGAAACCACAATGAGTTGAAAATTATGAAAACTACTTAAAATCGATTTCGAAACAATGCAAAAAAAGCAAATATAGTTTTGAACACTATATCTTTCTTTTTTGATGGAAAAAATTCTACAACTCTTTTAATGAAAAAAAACAACGTGAAAATAGATTATATATAATGCAGAACATGTCGCAACCTTGTAGACATAGTTCTATGGCGATAGATTGTGAAATGTCATGAAAAAATCAAGAAAGTAATATGACTGCAAGGCCTAACATATATATGTAGTGGTATTGCAAGATACTACAAGAAAAGTAAAGGAACATCATATAAAAAATAAAAATCATTTTTCAAAATACAAAGAAATTCATATTCACTATTATTATTCTAACTCATTTTTAATGTCAACCATGCTGATATTTTATCTATTGTTTCATCGGCATAAAGAAATAGTAAACTGTTTTCATTCTTTTTTCAATCCCGCTTTACATTTGTTTTATATTATCGTATTCTAGAGCTTGTGTATCGGTCAATTTTGTAGTACAGAACAATTCAATCGTACTCAAGGTCACATAAACATTCTTTGTTAACTCTTAAAAACCGAACGTTTCTTCCTCGTACGTGACTGTCAGACAGTAAAAAACTTTGTGTGCTCATAATTATCCTTTTTTTGAGTGATATCATATCGCTTAGCACAACGTCAAGCTATCTGATGAAACTGTTTGATAAGTTTTTACATGGCCTATTGGCTCATTTCGACATCATCACGAAAATTTCTCTTGGAAGGGACATTCGATCATAACAACATGAAATATTCTATCAACCGATAAATAATGAAAGAACTATTTGAAGTATTATGTGAGAAAATTTATTTTCTATCACATTTTATTCATTCAAGTTACTTAAAAATTAATAAAAATACGATATAAAAATGTTGTGCAGATTTATTCATCATAACATAAACTACTAATGTCAAACTTTGCAGTTATTTAATATTAAGTCAATACAATAACCGAACATCTTAAACCATTGATTTTGTTTTTGTTATATGCAAGAATAGTAAATTTAAAAATTTCGAAATATTTTTTATTTAAAGGACAACTTCATCATTATTATAACTATGAGATTGATATTCAGATAGATAATGCCGAGGTGTTGAATCATTAGATTTATAATAATCTTCTATCGATGATGCATCAGAATGAATTGATGCTTCAACAATTGGACGAAAAAATTGATTTGAGGGCATTGTTGGTTCATTTGATAGTATATCTGTATTTAATGTTGGTATAGGATTTTTCATATTATCTTCATCACGTAATCGAAAATAATTTATGATATTTGTTTCAAGTAATTTTAAACGTTGAGCTGAATTTGATTGATCATAATGATAATTATCTGTTAAACGAATTAAACCTGTTCTATCATTCTTTTCTAGATCCGTCAATGGAGAAAATTGAAATCTTTCAAGAAGTGCCCTAGAAATGAAAGAATAATAAAATTAATTAATGAAAACAGTATGTCGAAGAAGTATATTTTTTTTTCCAGTTTCGTATAATCTATTAATCGAGTTATATCAGTTTTTCATATACTTTTTTCAGCATCAATTGAATTTTACTAAAGAAACCTAAATATGACCTTCAATGGAAAAATTCAAATTTTCCTTTTCTTTGTTTTTTTTTCGATACTTTCATCTGCAGACATTTGCTATTAGTTAGAAAAATTTGAATTCATCTTTCTCTTTGTATCTTTAGACAAGATAGGTAGGCATTTAGCAGGTACTTCACAGTGAATATATAGAAACACTAAACTTCGTGTTCCATCCTCTCTGACATTATATAATATCAGAAGGCGGAAAACATTTTTTTTATAGTGAATAACATCAACTTTAATGTCACCATGCCAAACAATAGAACACGTTCTAAACGAATATCGACAAGATAATCACCTGAATAAGTGCTTCCATCCTTATTTCTTAACATCAAAACTAAAAAGGACTTTATTTTTATTTCATCATACCATCGTTCAGTATATCTTCGATCACGACGGCTACCATGCCAATGATGCCATATATTAACTGGAATATATGATACATGAGTACCATTACCAGCTACTTGGGCAACTCGTTCTCCCCATACATTAGCTAAACGTCGATAATCATTATGTATTTCAGATGGAATAGTTTCGTCAATACGATTTAATAATGCATACGCAAAATGAATATCACCTGAACCAAGAATAGAAAAATCGAGAAGACCACCAATATCATCAAACGTTTTACGACGCATTGCCCATGCATAACCAGGATGAAAATAACATTCCGATGAACGACGAAAATCAATGGGTTCTCCATGTGTAATAGAATAAACAAATGAATAATCACGACGTAAGATTTGTTTTTTTCCTGATGGTCCTAAAAAGAAAGATAATTGAAATAATTGTACAATTGGATAATGTCGTAATTGATCAATAGCCAGATAAGGCCAATCATAACTCTATAAGAAATAAATAGAATGAAATAATACGAATTTTATTAAAGAAAAATACAATATAAAACGAACTTGAAATTCTATGTCTGCATCAAGCCATGCAATATATTCAATGCTTGAAGGTAAATGTTTAACAGCAATATTAATTAAGTTTTCTTTTAACCATATAACTGAAGGAGCTTTGATTTGTAAATGTCGAGGTTCATTTGCACGTGTTATTTCAAATCTTTGTCTGGGTAAACCAAATTGTTCATCTATATCGAATATACATTCAATAGTAAATAATTTAATACCACAGCGTAACATATGTTTATTAAATTTATGATATAAATCATAACGTGATTTATATTTAATTGGATTGAATAAAACTGTAATAACAGCAAAACGACTTAAATCATATTTCAATTGTGATAGTTGAGGAGAATTTTTTTTTGATAGTTGTGTACCCATTGAATTTATGCAGATATTTATTTACTCATAAATAACAAACGATGAAATGAGAGTTGAAAAATTTGGCATGGAAGTGAAAGAGAATAAGAATTCACCATTCGTCTCTTTACAACGATAATTGCCAGATTGTTCACAGAAGTTGTCTTTTGTGATTCGCAGGTGGTTACAAACAAAAAAAAACGATTAATTTCGAACGATCAAAGAAAAACACTTTACTAGTTCTGTTTGTTGATCTTGAAGGACTAAAGTGAATGCGAGAAAAATGAGATTCTATTTTAAAAATTTATCGTTGTCAAAAACAAGGTCGTTCTGTTTCGTTATTTTTTTTTTCGCTTTCTCTTTTTGAAAGAAATAATGTATAGGTTGTAAAGAATGTTCGCTCAATATCGTTCTCTATTAATAAAGTAATGTAAAGATATTTTTCTTTCAAATAAACTACCAAGCGCTTTCTTAATATTGTAAAGCCAAAGAAATATCTTCCATGTTTATAATCGGATAAAAAACTGTTGTTGATTGTTTGATGTACTATGTATTCTAAGTTCGTCATAAAAAGTTAAACCAAACTCGAAATTATTTTTTTTTTAAATAAGAGAACATAGAATTTTGAATATTTTTCTTTTTTTCTTTTGCGTGTGATAGAGTCCAAGGTGAAGAAAACAAAAGAACAGTTTAGTTAGATGTTTACTCTCGAATTACGATTCATAACTTTATATAAAGTATTACAAGCTAAAGATCCAAGTTTTTTTGTCATATTAACTTCCACTTTTGAGTTTGACTAATATAAATTGTGTTATATGATTAGAAGAACTTTACAATCCAATGTAACCACATCAGTTTGTCATATATATTACTTCAATGAATGTGCGTCTTACCTTAGAGATTATTAAAAATAGTTTTATTTCTTCTAAAGCTTAATTACATGATAGAAAATACGACAATCAATATTGCAAATTAGGGATTCAGTGTTGATAACGGTGTATTGTACCTTCGGTGCCTCGATATTACGTACAGCTACATATAGACTAACGATGAAGATAGTGAACGCATAATAAAACTATGGTAGTCTTGAGTTGATTTCGATTTTTTACGGTCGGGAAAACCATTTCAAGAAAATAGCTGAATTTTATAAAAATAGACTAATTTGACTCGATGGACTCTACCTACGACCGAAAAAGTCGAAATGAATATGAGATCACCAGTATTGTTGCATCCCTAATTGAAATATTTAACATTAAATTTTGCAGCAATAAACCATTATATCGAATTCATTTGAATCAAAAGTAGATTTATTATTTTTCTATTTATTCTTAAAAGAAAAAAAAGAATACATGAATATTTTAAAAATAAATCAAACTGTTATACAAAGCTAGTTAACTCTTTTCTATCTAAAAAAATTTAATCAAATGTTATAGTTACAGCAAGTTTTTTTGGTTTAATCGTATCCGTAACATCATATCCTCCAGCATTAAGTTCAGGTCCACCATCACCAAATGTAACAAATTGCATAAGTCTAGCACAAATAATTTTTAATTCAAATCGAGCTAAATCTTGACCCATACATTGTCTATGTCCACCACCAAATGGTATTAATGCTGATAGATTATTTTTATTTTCCGGATCATCTAAATATCGTTCAGGATGAAATTCATTTAGATCATATAAATTTGCCCAATAACGTTTATCTCTTGCTAAAGTATAAAATGTAATCATAACTGAATCACCTTTTTTTAATTGTGCTCCACTTTTAGGTAATTGATCATCTGCAGTTAACGTTCGAACAGTACCTGTTACTGGTCCTGCTAAACGGAATACTTCACGAAGTACATAATCTAAATAAGTTAGTGACTCCACTTGTTGAATTGAAAGACGTTGACCATGATATTCAGAAAGTTCTTGTTTTATTTTCTTTTGTATTTGTGGATTTTTACTCATAAAATAAATAAACCAAGAAAGTGCTGTTGACGTTGTTCCATAACCAGCTGCAAGAAATGAAAGCATTTCATTCATGACTTCGATTCGAGATAGTCCTTAAATAATTATAATTGAAAAAATTATTTGTATTGTTTTTCTCTTGGAATCATTATTAAAGAATCTACCTTTTTTTTCTTCT